TCCCTGGCCAGCCAATCTAGTCAAATTAGTGAGCCTAACGCCAATGAGAGACATTGTATCAAAAAATCAAGAGGCTTGCACCTGAGGACAGACCCCCAAGGTTGACCTCGGACCTATACATACATACACACATACATACATACAACACATATATGCATTTGCATGCTTGAGCATACACAACACACTCACATGTCCCTAATCCCTGGACTCAAGCCTCACAAGCAGCTGGGATTATAGGTGTACACTTGTTTACAAACAGCACTTTTAAAAAAACTTTTTTATTTTTTGGTTACATTTGTTTGTGTGTGGAGTATATGTATGTGGTCCCTCCTGTGGTCAAAGAGCAGTCCACAGGAGTCATTCTTTCCTTTGACCAAACATTCATAATTCAAAATTAAAAGTAAATAAAAAATATTTTTTAAAGATTTGTTTTATAACTAACCAACTTCATCGACTAGTTACGTGAGATGCTGAAAGTTACAACATTGCAGTTACTGATACAAATGGGTTAACTGGAGACATGAAAGCATTCCAAATGTTTTGCTTATTCTTAGAATATTCTTCAGAAAGACATGTTTTATGTTTAAGTGCTAAGTCTTAGTATAATGTTTATGATCCTATAAAACAAGCAACAGGATATGATGTTTGGTTAATTATTGGGTTTAATTTCTACTTGATCCTCTAAAAGAATAGTGTGTTGGTACAATGTAATAACATGATTTTCATGAAACCTGTTGAGACTGAGCCTTTCAAAGTTATTTGATTTTTAGATCATCAGTCATGAAAATGGTTCAGTTTGCAATGTGAGCTCTGTACTTGGTGGTATGACAAATGTTTGCTTTTATAATATACAGATTTTCCTTGGAAATAAAAGATGAAACACATTTCCCCCTAAGTTTTCCAAGAAATAAAAGAAATTAAAAAAAAAAAAAAGATTTGTTTTATGTGTATGAGTGTTCTGCAAGCTTATGTACCACAAGCACTCATGGTGCTTACAGAGCTGGAACTAAAGTTGCATATGGTTGTGAGCCATCATGAGGGTGCTGGGAACGGAACCCCGGCCCTCTGCAAAAGCAGCAAAGTGCTCTTAACTGCTAGGCCCACTCTCTAGTCCTAGTACTTTAAAATGATAACCCTGAGTGTTCTGAGTCGACAAACCCCTTTGCATCTACTTTCTCATTCAATCATCTTCCAGACTAAAGAGCTGTTAGTATACTGTTAAAACACCTCACTGTTGAGTTAGGGATGCAGCTCTGGGGTGACTTAAGGGGCCTTGGGTTCCATACCCAGCACTACCAAAAGGGTAAGAAAAACCCCAATGCCTTATGAACAAGACGTTAAGTGTAGGGTTAACACAACCTTAGGGTCCAATATTTTAAACACATTCCTGTCCCCTGTAACAGAGGAAGGAAACAGTATTCTGGAGGAAAAAGGCTGTGAACTGCCGGAGTCCCTTCAGTCAGGCCTGATTTCTTTTTCTTTTTCTTTTTTTTTTTTGGTTTTTCGAGACAGGGTTTCTCTGTGTAGCTTTGCGCCTTTCCTGGAACTCACTTGGTAGTCCAGGCTGGCCTCGAACTCACAGAGATCCGCCTGGCTCTGCCTCCCGAGTGCTGGGATTAAAGGCGTGCGCCACCACCGCCCGGCAGGCCTGATTTCTTTTTTTTTTTTTTTTTTTTTGGTTTTTCGAGACAGGGTTTCTCTGTGTAGCTTTGCGCCTTTCCTGGAACTCACTTGGTAGCCCAGGCTGGCCTCGAACTCACAGAGATCCGCCTGGCTCTGCCTCCCGAGTGCTGGGATTAAAGGCGTGCGCCACCACCGCCCGGCAGGCCTGATTTCTTATTGCACCTTCCTATACCCAAAGGTCAGAACATTGAAACCCTCAAGCTAGGCTCAGTTAGTGATTTTTCACAAATAAACAAAAGTCCTAAAGCCTTCAGGGGAGCTTAAAGATTAGATATAAAGACTTCAAGTATGGCATTGTGCCCCAGAACCTCTCTCTTCCTCTCCCAATAAGAAAAGGCTGCATTTGGCCAGGTCCAAGATCAAATCTAAAACCCTTACATGTGTCTGAGGAAATCCTTCTCTGGCTGGGCAGTGGTACATACCCTTAATTCCAGCACCTGAGGAAGAGGCAAGTAGGTCTCTTTGAGTTTAAGGCCAGCCTGGTCTACACAAGGAATTCTAAAGAGAGCCAAACTGACCAGGGTTGTATAGTAAGAGCCTGTCTCAAAAGGTGTTGGGGGGAGGGGGAGATACACCTTTCCCAAAGCGCTTGATGAGACTGCCTTACCCTCTTCCTGGGCCCACTTGACCCTGAATTAAGAGAGCCAGATTCTCTATAGCTGGCTACACCAACTCATGACTCCTCTGGAGCCACCGAGCTGCCCTCAGCACCGATGGGCCTGCCCGCACTCACTCACTGCTCACACCACTCTGATTGAAGGTAAGTGCCCTCCCCACAAAGGCACTTGCCTTCAATCAGTACAGTGCACACTCCGTTATGAAATATGGATTTGAATCACCTTTTCCGAGATGATCTCACTGTCCTACAAACAGATGCGCAATTAGAAAACACCGGGAATGGAATTTGCCGCTGTTTATTGCTTACAAAACAAACGAGCCTTCAGCAATCCTGTGGTGAAGAAAGCCGGTACAAGATTACAAAAGTTCCCTCTGAAAGAACTAAACTGTGAGAGTGTCCCTGTCAAGGAAGACATTCATCACACCCCAGGAGCAGGAAGGGAATGGTTGCAACGAGGTCAAGAGGAGACCCTAACAAAGTCTAGTCCGTCATCAAGGTGGAAGCTAGGTGAGAGGCCAGTCATATCCACATGTGATAAGCATGTACGTGCTGTGCTGATGTTTGAGGATGACAGAACATGCCTTATAATGTTTAGAAGACTTCTCTAGGGAGCCAGAGAAATAGCTCGGCTGTTAGGGGGTACCTGCTGCTCTTGCAGAGAACTAGAGTCAGGCAGTTCATAACTGCCCGTAACTACATCTCCGGGGGATCCAGCGACCTCTTCTGGCCTCCTCCTGCTGCAGATACACACAGATCCACGCATACACATAATATGTACAAATATGACACCTCGAACTGACCGGTGAAAAACAGATGGAGAATACACAAAAATCCAGGCTAGCAATTGGAGTAGCTTGGACTAGAGAAGGGCACAAAGAGAAATCAATAGGAAGTGTTTCGGGTTTTGTTAGTGAGATAGGGTCTTGCTATGTAGCCGAAGATGACCCAGAGCCTCTCTCATGCCTCCACCTCCCAGATGCTAGGATTACAGGCATGGATCATCACACCCAGTTTATGCAGTACAAGAGATTACACCCAGGGCACTGTGCAGAGTAGGCACACACACTCCCACCTGAGCTGCATCCCTAGCCTGTTATTTTTTAATGGTACAAAACACAGCAATTCGAGACATAACATTATGTAGTAGGTAATCTCTTGTAGTCTTTCACATAATTTTCTAAATGAGCACAAATCACTTGTAACTCTAGACACCAGATCCCATGTGTCTACATGATGGCTCAAGCATAGACTACAGACACTTATATCCCCACAGTTTCTTTTTGTAAACTCTGAGATAACTTGACGTCTAAGAATCAGGATGTCTGATTTCTCTCAGAGGAGGTTACTAGATCTGGCAGAAACACCAGGGCCATGTTTCTACAGGTTGGTAATTGGCAAGGACACAGGCGCTCTGGTTTACCTCAGTGCCCACACCCAGCACTCTTTTCTCATCTGGGGCACCTGCTGTAAAGGTTTGTTATTTCTGCCCCCATGGCCTGGTATCACGTAAGATGCCACAAGCTCTTGTTAGTGTAAGATATCTTGATTTGGGAGCAGCGATATAGCTCATTTGTTAGAGTGCTTGCCTAGCATGCAGGAAGCCCCAGGTTGATCCCAGCAGTACCTCATAACCAGGTATGGTGGTACACAGTTGACACCCCTCCCCCCTCCCCAGTCCGCCCCCCCCCAAAAAAGGAAAGGTATCTTAATCTGGACCTTAAAATCGGTTTTTCTTAACTCATTTTAACGAATTTGGATCATACTTGGCTTGGGATTTCACATGGTCTGTAACCACCTGTGTCAGGGACCATTTATATACCAAATCCATTACACTCTAATTGGACCCAACTACAGAAAAACTAGGTAAACTACTTAGAGCTGGCTCCTCTGCACACCAGGGAACCACACATGTACAGTCTGGGGCTGGGGCGATTTTCCTTGCCTACAGCAAATGCAAAGTACCCGCCGGGTTCAGCTCCCAGAACCACAAGAAATAAACAATACTGTCAGATTATATGCTTCCCAGGGGTGGAGCGGAGTCCTTCAACACAGCCTGTGCCACTCCAAGATGTGTAAACAGAACCCAAGGAGGCTCACTATCCAGTCTCTCTCTTACTTTTTGAGACAGACCACTCAAATTGGCAAAACCTCTCTCTCCACTAGAGAAAAGCGTTTTGTAATTCAAGAGATAGGGAACTGCCAGTTGTTTCCAGCAAACGCGGCCTCCAGAATGCTGACACGGGCATGCTGTTATTCCAAATTGTTTCAGGCCTCTAAATTTGTTTTACCTCTTTCTCTCATCTTCATCCCTATTGCCATTTCTAACCCGGGGCCAGAATAAATCGGATACATTGGTCAAAGCACCATTAACTTTCAAACATAATAAACCTTCACAAAGTTTGGGGAACCAGAATCCACGTAAGAACTCGCTGCTACCGGATCGCCAGCAATTTGTCATTTTTAAGGACAAAGCGTCCTAAGGGACCTTCCTGTCATCTCTTCTCGGACCCCACCCCCAGATGTAGGATCTGTACTCTGAAACATCGTCTATGCAGAGTGGGGTTACAGAGGGAAAATGCACGGTGCTTGGTACACACTCAACCTTAGGCTGATGGCACGAGCCTCCCAGCACATGCATCCCGCCGAGCCAGGTGGGCAGGGCCGCGACCCAGGGATGCCGAGGGCGCGGCTCACCTACCTGCAGACGCACGTTGAGCATCATGGAAGCCACGATGTAGAGGTAGGGAAAGTTGATGCGCAGCCGCCAAGCCAAGTCAAAGAAGATGAGCAACGTGCGGGTCAACCCCTTGCAGAAGACCCCATAGGAGCGGGCGGCGGCCGAGCGCGACAGCCGGACAGCCAGACCCGACAGAGCCGTCGCCATATAGAGACCCGCGGCGCTCCCACTGCCCGCCCGCCCTCCCTCTCCGCGCCGCGTCGCCCAAGGCCTCCTCCCTGGGCCGCTGTTCAGAGCTCAGCGATCTCAGGGAGCTAGGGAGACCGCGGCGAGGCCGGCGGGAGGGCGGGCCGCGGGGGAGCTGAGTCTGCGCGTCACTGTCGGGAAGCGCCTCCGCGAGCCACCTCCTGGATCCCCGGCCCGGCCGCGCGGCCTGACGTCACAAAGCCGGCCCGCGCCTGCGCAGGCGGCAGACTCCGCCCCCTCCCGCCCCGCCTCGCAGACCGCTTTCCTAGCAAGTGAGGTGCGCGTGCGTGGGAGGAAGGAGTTGCTGCGTTGCGTCCTGGCGCCCTCTAATGGTGAAGCTAAGGATAACACTAGAGGGAAGGTCGGGCGTGGCGGCGATAGCCTGTAATATTCCAGCTCTCAGGAGGCTGAGGCAGGACCTGGGCTACTTGACAAGGCTCTGTCTCGGGCAAGAAAGAAAGAAAAAAAAGAAAAGAGGGGCTCAGAAGATGACTCAGCGGTTAAGAGCGCTTGCTGCTCCTCCAGAGGACCCTGAGTTCAGTTTCCAGTACCCATATTAGGTGGCTCGCTGTCACATACAACTCTGGCTTCAAGGGATCCGATGTCTTCTGGCCTTCGTGAGCATCTGCACTCACCTGCACATGCATATACTGAGATACACATTCACATAAAAATAAATAGGTCTTTAGAAAAAGAACAGGAAAGAGATGGACCATGGCCATGGCCACAGGTACTTTATACCACGTTCTTTAAAATGGGTCCAGTGAGGCCAGCGAAATGGTCAAGAAGGTAAAGGCACTTTCCACTACTCTGAGAACATGAGTTCAGTCCTTGGGACCCACAAGGTAGGAGGACACAACTGATTCCAGCGAGCTGTTCTCTATGCTGGGGTTGTTTTTTGTTTGTTTGTTTGTTTGTTTGTTTTTGGGTTTTTTTTTCTCTGTTAACTTGACACAGGTTAGAGTTACCCTGGAAGAGGGAACTTCAACAGAGAAAATGGGAAGCCTGAGCAGGTGGTCCTGGGTTGTAAGAAAGCAAGGTAAGGAAGCCATGGAGTGCAAGCCAGTAAGTGATGTTCATCTGTAAATTCTAATTCAGTTTCTGCCTCAAGTTCTTGTCCTGCCTGACTGCCTGCCTTGGCTTCCCTCAATGACAGACAGTTCTTTTTGCTGTATAAGCCACATAAATCCTTTCCTCCCCACGTTACTTTTGATAATGGTGTTTATCACAGTAATAGAAAGCATACTAATATATCCTCCTGCCCTCCCTCGCCTCCTGTGTTTTATGTATGTGCACACCATGTGCGCGTGAGCTCGCACACGCGCGCGCGCGCGCACACACACACACTCATACACACATGCACACATACACTAAATAAAATGTGACTTTACATTTTTCTAATGGTTGCAGTAGTAGTTAGTGCTTCCTGCTCTATCAGAGGATCAGAGTCCAGACTGCAGCAGCCACATCAGGCAGCTCGTAAACATTTAAAACTCCACCTCCATGGAATCTGATGCCCACTTCTGGCCTCCATGAGCACCCAAATGCACACATATATTCAAACACACACAAATACAATATTTTTTTTAAATGGTTACAATGGGAAATTTCCTATCATTGTATAGTTACCATATTTCCAAAAGAAAGAAAAAAGGCATTTGTGGGTGAATGAATAGCCCGGTGTTCCTGTGTGAAGGGCCTGCCGTCCCAGCCATTCTTGTTCAATGTTCAATTATATACACTTTAAATTTTTATTAATTTGTTTATTGTTTTGTGCGTGTAAATGTTTTGCCTGCATGCACCACTTTGCTTGCATGTGTGTCTGTTCACCGTGTGTGTGCCCAGTGCCTGCAAAGGCCAGAAGAGAACATCAGATCCCCTGGAACTGGAGTGACAGACTGTGAGCTTCCAAGTGGGTGCTAGGGATCCAACCTGGGTTCTCTGGAAGGGCAACCAGTACTTTTAGCACTGAGCCATCTCTCCAGCCCACAATCATATATGCTTTAATAATTGTAGTACTGCCAGGTAGGGTGGCATATACTCTCAATCCCAGCACTCAGGAAGCAGAGGCAGGCAGATGTCTGTAAGCTCAAGGCCAGCCTTGTTAACATAGCAGGTTCTGGAACCCAGAGCTACACAGTGAGACCCTGCCTCAAAAAACAAATCAAAATAATTAAAACTAAATAACTAAAGCCTCTGAGGTAAAATATACATCGATTTTGAAGAATTCTAGTATTCTGGAATGTAAGGAGTTTGATAGAAATCTCTTTTCTGGATTTGTTTGAGACAGGATTTTTTTTTTTTTTTTTGAGACAGGGTTTCTCTGTGTAACAGCCCTAGGGATCCTGGATCTCCCTCTGTAGACCAGGCTGGCCCGAACTCTTAGAGATCCACCTGCCTCTGGCTCTGCTGGGATTAAAAGCGTGCACCACCACTGCCCGGCTAGGATTTTTTTTTTAACGCTGTTATATTCTTTTTGTGTGTATGTGTGAGGGAGTTGGTAGGCGATCTCATGGGTTTGGACCCATGTAGCAACCCAAGGTTGATCTCAGGAATATTCCTCAATGACTCTTCCAGTTTATTCTTTGAAGCGGTATCTTCAGTGACACCAGGGCTCACTGGTACCGCTAGTCTAGCTAGCCAGCTTGCTCTGAGGAATCCCTTGTCTCTGCCTTCTGAGGCTGAAATTAATTCTGCTGCCCAGCTTTTATTCAGCTTCAGGGTCTCCTGATTCCATCCTCACACTTGGCCAGCAAACACTTTATCCACTGAGCTATCTCTCCACCCCCCAAAAAAGCTTATAGTTTGAGAGATAAGAGAGATAAGGCTGGGGATGTAGTTCAGTTGAGATAGCGCTTGCCTAGCACGCATGAAGCCCAGGATTCCGCAGCACCTCATTAACTGGGCATGGTGGCTCACTCCTATAACCTCAACAGATGGAGGCAGGAAGATCAGAAGTTCAAGGTCATCCTTAGCTACACAGTAAGTTTAAAGATAGCCTGGGTTAGCCGGGGGTGGGGGGGAGTAAGGGGGGGCGCACGCCTTTACAGGTGGATCTCCGTGAGTTCGAGGCCAACCTGGTCTACACAGTGAGTTCCAGGACAAGCTCCAAAGAAACCCTGTCTTGGGAAAAAAAAAAAAAAAAAAGATAGCCTGGGTTACATGAGACCTTATGGAAGAAGGGAGAGAGACAGAGAGAGAATTATGTCAGTGTGAAAAGTACTTTTGTACAGGCACAAAGTGTGACAAGAAGAGGCTAGGAGGGAAGCTTATTAATAACTGATCAACAAGCCCGTCTGCTTTCCTTACATTCCTCCCTGCTGCTCTTGGAGCTGTGCCTCAGAAGACAGCCAGCCCAGAGAAACCAGGTTCCATCTTCAGCAACTTCTCTACGCTCCCCTGACCTGTTTCCAGAAAAAGAGGATGTGGATGCTCATCCCATCCCCTCCCCCACTGTCCTGCCTCTAGGTGTTTGTGAGAAATGAATGAGATCAGGGGTGCAGCACTGGGCACAGTTCCAAGCACACAGAAGGCACCCAGAAAACAGTAACTATTTTTATACCCAGAGCGCTTGAGTCCTTAGAGTGTAAGTTCAGTGGATTTATGAACTCAGTGTGCTGTTAATAATGGTTAATGATTAGCTGTTTATAAAATTACGTTCCTTGAACAGTGAAATGGCTCAGCAGGTAAAGACACTTGCAGCCAAGCCCAATGAGTTCAATGCCCAGGACCCACCTGGTAGAAGAAGAGAACTGAGTCATACAAGTTGTCCTCTGACCTCCACAGGCTCAACACACACACACACACACACACACACACACACACACACACACACACATATACACACACACATGCCCACATATACATACATACACATACACACACACACACACACACACACACACACACACACACACACACACAGAGACACTAATGGATAAATAAAATAACTTTCCTTGACAGCCCAGCTTTAGTGAGGCAGTGGATTCAGTCCCAAATACTGCAGAAAACAAAACAACAACAAAATCCTGTTTGTTTGTTCTCGTATGTATACCTGCATGAAGCTGTTTTTAGTCTTTTTTGGTGTACGTGTGTGTTGTATGTGTTGTGTTGGGGGAGGGAACATGTGTGCCCGTGCATGGAGACCAGTTTGCTGTCTGGTGTCTTCCTCAGTCACTTTCCAGTTTTTGAGACAGAGTCTCTGGCTGAACCAGGTTCCAGAACTCACCAATTGGCCGGGCCGTCTGGCCAATGGGCTCCAGGAATCCTTTTTCTCTCTCACCAGTGCTGGAATGACAAGAGTCTATGACCATGCCTAGCTTGGTTTTTGTTGCTTTTTGTTGTTGTTGTTGTTGTTATTGGTTTTTGTTTTGTTTTGATTTTTTAGACAGACTCTCACTATGTAGTCCTGGCTGGGCTAGAACTCACTACACAGACCAGGCTGGCCTCAAATACTGTGCGCCTTCGTCTCTATCCCTAATGCTGGGATTTAAGGCATGTGTTACCACACCCTGCCCATGCCCAGCTTTTATCTGGGTGCTGGGGATCCAACCTCAGGTCCTCATACTAGCATGACAAGCACTTTACCCACTGAGCCAAATCCTCAGCCCCATGTATGGAAATATTTTAAACTAAAAAATGTTTTATGTATGTGAGTGGTTTGCCTATGTGTGTATATATACACCATGTTCATGCCTGGTACTTGCAGAGGCTAGGAAAGGGCATCAGATGTTATGAGGAAAGACCATAGACTCAGTCTAATTATAATTAAAGATTTATTGCTTAGTTGCTAGCAGGATGAATAATCTCTGAACCAGATTTGAGATTGCCATGAGAAGGGGGGTGACTTTGGATACCTACTCAAGCAAGCAAAAACTGGTCTGTTCTATCAAGTTAAGTGCCCCAGAACAATCTTTGGGTATCTGCATACACAAGTTATAGAAAGCCAAAAGAGCAGTTAGTCATATCAGAACAAGTAGATAATCATGGCTGTACATTTTGGAATGTGGTGGGGTCCTGAAATCAGAGTTCCTGGGAATTTGTCTTCCAGGGACTGGAGCCAGAGACAAATAGCTAGTGTGTACCAAGATGGATGCCTGACTTTCAATGAAGTTTCTTTAGCTATCACACAGACACCCTGGAACTGTAATTTACAGTTGTAAGCTACCTATGGGTGCTGGGAACTGAACCAAGGTCCTCTGCAAGAGCTGAAAGCATTCTTAACTGCTGAGCCACCTCTCCAGCTCTATGAAAGTATTTTTTACATTCACATGTAATCAACCTGAAGAGAAAGATTCAGGAAGAGAGAATGGGCACACATGATCCAAGATGTGGGTCACCAACTTTTTCTAAAGCTGGATACAGTGGTTCACACCTGTCATCCCAGAGTTTGGGAGGCTGAGGCAGGAGGATTGCCTGGAGTTCCAGGCTAGCCTGGGTGTTCTGTTCTTACTTCCTCTGAGTTGAAGTGTTCCCTCCTGGAGGAGGGAAAGAAGCTCATCCAACTTGCAAGGCTCAGAAAATTTATACAACTTACAAAGCTCAGGAAATTCATGCAATTTACAAAGCTCTGGAAATTCACATGATTTACAAGACTCAGGAAGATAGAAAGTTATAGGATTTATAAGGCTTCTCTCCAAAGTTATATAAGCAGTCAATAATTGCTATGTAGAAAGACTCCCCAGTTGGCTAAGTTAGGTTGTTCAGTGAGCTTCAGGGATGCAGCTCTCCTGAGTCATCACTCATGTTGGGGTGAACTTTTAGATGACAGAGCAGCCTTTGAGTCATCCGTGCTATTGTAAGTCACCCACATTCCTGTAAGTAACCCAATAAACCCACTGACTGACTAGGCTAGACTGAACAGGGAAGATCACTTCTTTGTTTTCTGTGACCTGTGAGATGAATAGATGTTCACATCTTCCTAGGAAAAGTCAACACAACACTGGGCTAAGCTAATAAAACTATTACAAATGAGGAAATCAGAAATATTGAGAGTATGGCATGTTTGTTTTAAAAACTGGTACTTTAGAAAGGAAGAGAAACTGGGTGTGGGCTACACACTTGCAGCACAAGTTACTTGGGAGGCTCTGGGCAAGATGACTTGAGTCCAGGAGTGTAGGTCTAATCCAGATGGTGTACTTACAGAGCAAGACCCTGGCTCAACAACAGGCTGGAGAGAAGACTCAGCAGTTCAGAGCACTTGCTGTTCTTGAAGAAGAACATATGACCCTCAGCACCCATGTCAGGTGGCTCACAAGCACCTGTAACTCCAGCCTGAGGTGGCCAGATGCCATCTTTAGACAGGCATTTGAGTCTTCCTGCTTACATGGTGCACATGCATACACACATGTGCATAATATCAAACAAAATTTAAAATATGAAACCAATGGAGCTGGAGAGATGGCTCAGTAGTCAAGAGCACTTGTGTTTGCAGAGGGTCTGGGTTTGGTTCACAGCTCTTACATGGTCACTCACAACTATCCATGACTCCAGGTCTAAGGGATCTGATGTCCTCTTCTGGCTTCCACAGGCCCCAGGTATACATGTGGTGCATAAATATACACCCAGGCCAAATACCCATATATATATATAATCTAATTTTAAAATCCAGAGATAATTAAAATACTTATATTGAGCTGCAGAACATCAAGTTTCCTTTAACCCAAAAGTTCTTGTTACCAATATTAATCAATAGTAATAATGGTCATAGCACAGCAGTCAATACATTTTTTCAAATCGTTTTTGAGCAAATTATCACTTTTAGAATGTGTCAGAATGAAAGGGATGACATTTTTAAAAAGACATGTGTCGCCAGGTGTGGTGGAGCATGCCTTTAATCCCAGCACTTGGGAGGCAGAGGCTAGTGGATTTCTGAATTCGAGGCCAACCTGGTCTATAAAGAGAGTTCTAGGACAGCCAGGGCTACACAGAGAAACACTGTCTTGGAAAAAAAATTGCCAGGTATGGTGATATTTTATTTTGTACTAAAATGTTATTTGTATGTTAATAAATAAAGTTGCCCGGGGGTCAGAGCTATTAGCAAGCCATAGGAAAGCCGCAGTGGTGGCGTACGCTTGTAATCCCAGCACTTGATAGGCAGAGCTGGGTAAGTCTCTGTGTGTTCAGGGATACAGCCAGCATTGGAGACACATGCCTTTAATCTCAATAGCAATCATAGAAGACCTGGAGGTCTATACAGACGGGCAGTGATGAAGCAGTCATGTGGTTGGGTTTACAACCAATGAGAAGGCAGAACTGAAAGTCTATATAAGGACTTTAACACAGGAAGTAGCTCTTTTTCAGAGAGGTAGGACCACCGCAGGAGGAAGGGTAAGGTTTTAGCTCTTAGCTCTGACCTCTTGGCTTTCTTCTTTGCATTGGTTCTGTGTTTCTTATTTAATAAGACGGTTGGTTACATCTACAGCCAGGTGGCAGTGGCTCACACCTTTAATCCCAGCACTCAGGAGGCAGAGCCAGGCGGATCTCTGTGAATTTGAGGCCAGCCTGGTCTACAGAGCAAGATCCAGGGCAGGCACCAAAACTACACAGAGAAACCTCGTTTTGGAAAAAAAAATTGTATAGAATTTAGGGCTACAGAGATGACCAGGTGAGTAAGGTGCTTGCCAACAAATCCGAGGACCTGAGTTGATTCCCTAGCATCCACCTGTAATTCCATCACTCAGGAGGTGGAGACAAGTGATTCATGGAGCAAGCTAGCTAACTATACTGTGAATTCTGGGCTCAACCCAAAGACCTTGAGTCAATATATGAGTCAGAGAGCTATCAAGGAAGAGACTAGGGGCCTATGAGATTGCAAAGGAGCTTGCAGCCAAACCCAGTGACCTGAGTTCTATCCCCAGGACCCCACTGGTTGGAAGGAGAGAACCTATTTCTATAAGTCATTCTGTGCTGTGTCATGTGTATGCCCACATTCATATACTCACACATAAATAAACAAATAAATAAATAAACAAACCAATGAATAATTTTAAGGGAGACATCAGCTGGGAATAGTGATGCACACCTTTAATCATAGCAGTCAGGAGACAGAAGCAGGCAGATCTCTGTGAGTTCAAGGTCAGCCTGGTCCACATAATGAATTTCAGGACAGTCAGGGCTACATAATAAGACCCTGTCTCAAGAAAAAGAAGAGGAAGAGGAGAAGGAGGGGGAGGGGAGGGGTGGAAGACCAGACATCGACCATCAATCTCTGGCCTCCAAGCATGTGTGCATGAATACACACACACTCACATACATCTGTGCACCCGTACACATACAGTCATGAATGCACATGAATGCACATGTACGCACACAAAAGTGAAAAACAACATATAGACTTTGATGAAATAGTTAAAAACAATGCAAAATGTAACTGTTTTCTAGGAAATATATGGTAATTCTGTGTAGTCTTATTTCACATTTTTATTTACGCTTAGTTTTGGAGCCAGGGTCTCAGGCCATCTAGGCTGGCCTTGGATTCCCTGAGTAGCTAGAGTTGACCTTGAGTTGATCTTTCTGCCTCTACCTCTTAAGTTCAGGGATTGCAGGAATTCTCAGCTTTATCTTTATTTTTTTTTAATATTTATTCAGTTATCTTTGTTTTTATTTTGTTCTGCTTTTTGAGACAGTGTCATACACCCTAGAACTAGAGTCCTAGGCAGTTGTATGCCACCATGTGGGTATTGAGACAGGAACTCGGTTCCTCTGTTTGAGCAGCCAGTGCTCCTCACTGCTGAGCCACCTCTCCAGCCCCAAAGGTCAGGGCTAGGGATGAAAAGCCTTCTTGGTTGGTATTTTGTTTTGTTTTTTGTTTTTTGGTTTTTTTTTTTTTTTTTTTTTTTGGTTTTTTCGAGACAGGGTTTCTCTGTGTAGCTTTGTGCCTTTCCTGGAACTCACTTGGTAGCCCAGGCTGGCCTCGAACTCACAGAGATCCGCCGGCCTCTGCCTCCCGAGTGCTGGGATTAAAGGCGTGCGCCACCACCGCCCGGCTTGTTTTGTTTTTGAGATAGGCTCTCACTGTGTAGTTATGTGGTCCTGGCTGGCCAGGAACTCACTATGTAGACCAAGCTGGCTTCGGATTCACAGAGATCTACCTGTTTCTACCTCCTGAATGTTGGGATTAAAGACGTACCTGCTGTTTTATTTCTAAATGTTTTTTCATTTATTATTATTGTGTGTATGAGGCATGTGTAGGGATCAGAGAACAATTTTCGAGAGTCAGTTCTCACCTTCCACTGTAGGTTCCATGCCTCAAACTTACATTATTGGGCTTCTGTGTTGGCCCTAGGTTGTATTTCTGGATGAGCTTTTGTCACATAGATGTAGTTATTTGTCAAAACTCCACTCATGGGGCTGGAGACACGGCTCAGCAGTTAAGAGCACTGACTGCTCTTCCAGAGGACCCAGGTTCAATTCCCAGCACCCACATGGCAGCTAACAACTTTTTGGTTCCTAGCACCTACTTTGGGTGGCTCATAACTGCCTGTGACTCTAGCTCTGGGGGATCTGATGCCCTCTCCTGGCCTCTTTGGGTACTTTCATGCACATGTAAACACATACACATACACAAACACATACACACACACACACACACACACACACACACAGAATTTAAATCTTAAAAAACCAACAACTAAGGGGTTGGCTCACTGTTTAAGAGCATCCATCACTACTGTAGAGGACCCAGGTTTGGTTCTCAGTACCCTTATTGGTGGCTCACAATCATTCGTAATGTAACTTCAGTTCTATGGGATCCAACATTCTCTTCCGACCTCCATGGAAACCAGGAACTCACATAGTGTGCATACATACATGCAAACAAAACACTTATACACATAAAATAAGATAAATAAATCTTTTAATATATTTAACACAGAGACATTCCAAGACGAGGATTGGTATGGTAGGTCCATGGTGCTTTTGATAATTTCCACGTGTCTTTGCAAACACATACACATACACAAATGCAATAAAATTAAAGTGCATGGTTACTGAGAAATGACACTTGAGGTTGACCTCTGACCACTATCTGCATACTTATACACATGCACTCACACATGTGTGCTCACACATATATACTCACAGACTTATACCTGCACCAACACACATACACATAAAAGAGATTAATTGTGAATGGGTAAATGGATAGAAGTACGATAAAGCAAGTATAGTTAGAATGCCTGTTGTAGATTTATGGGGGAATGTGTCTTCACTGTAGATTTCTTTCCACTTTACTGTGCATTCAAAACTAATTTTTAAGCAGGATGTGGTGGTTCATACCTTTGATTCTAGCACTTGGGAGGCAGATCTCTATGAGTCCAAGGCCAGTCAGGCCTACATATCAAGTTCCAGACCACCTATGGCTACATAGTCAGACCCTGTTTCAAAAAAATAAAAATGCATATGTGTGTGAGTGTGTTCACAGACACACAAGTGCCATGATGCATGTGTGTCTCTATCACTGAATTATTCCCTAGCCTCTCACTAGGGAAGTCTAGGCAGGTGCTCTACCACTGAACTATACCTCCAGTCTCTCAGTAGGGGATTCTAGGCAGGTGCTCTACCACTGAGCCACACCCCAGCCCCTCACTGGGGGATTCTAGGCAGGTGTTCTACCACTGAGCCACACCCCAGCCCCTCACTGGGGGATTCTAGGCAGGTGGTCTATTGAAAAGTCACCTGTCCAGCGTCTAAAATTCAGTTCTTCATATCTAGTTGCCACATTTCAAAAGTTCAGTCCTGACAGTCATGGTAGTACACACCTTTAGTCCCAGCACTTGGGATACAGAAGCAGATGGATCTCTGTAAGTTTGAAGCAAGACTGATCTACATAGTGATTTCCAGGACAGCCAGAACTACATAGAAAGACTGAAAAAATTGGGAAAGGTTATCTTTTTTGTTTTTTGTTTTTTTCATTTTTCTTAGGAACTAACTCTGTAGACTAGGCTGGCCTCGAAATCAGAGATCTGCCGGCCTCTGCCTGATCAAAGGCATGTGCCACCACCACTTGGCTGGGGAAATGTTTTCTTAAACAAAAAAACTTAATTGTATTTTTATTTGTGTGCGTGTGTACACATGTGCATGCATGCACCCACAAGTAAATGTTTACAAAATTTAAAAAATAATGAAGACTCAAAGGCTAGACTTGGGTGGTATTGATATTACCAATTCTAACTCCTGCTTGAGGTCCCTGTGCCACTCCAGAAAAACATGCTCATCCCTGAGGAGAATCTCGGTTGTCTGGTGCCTTCTCACTCATTAGGGAAGAAAGGGACTCAGTGAGTCACATAACCAGAAACAATGGGGTAGAGGAAGTCTTGTGAAGAAATGGGAAGTCGTGGCTGGGCAGGGACAACCAAAAGGTATTGGGACTGGTGATGGGTCAGTTGGTAAAAGGCTTACGGTACCAACATGAGGCCCTGAGTCCAATTCCCAGGACCCATGTCAAAACACCTGTAATCCCTGTGGTGGGGATGCAGAGGTAGGGGGATCCCTGGGGTGTCCTGGCGGAGTGAGAGGTCTTGTGTTAAAAAGTAAAGGGCTGTGGTCGGAAACAGGGGCAAGGTGACTCAGCAGGTAGAGACGGCTGCATCTCACCAAGCACCAACTCTTGCAAGTCACCTTTGGACTTCCACCCAGGGGTCATGCCCACAGACCCACTCACTGACCCTACCCAAAATAAAGAAATCCATGAAATTTATAAATAAAGTGAAGCATCATTGAGGAAGATACCTGACATAGACCTCCGGCTTCCATACACACATGCACACGCACAGCCACATACAAACGTACATGTACATATACACACAAAAAGCCCTCCACTGGTTCAGAAGGATTACAAATAACACAGATGCAAAATGACAATGGCTTCATCAAGCTCCAAGTTTATTTCTTCCATGTCTAAAAGTCCAGATGTACGTCAGTCAAGCTGGCTGTGTGGGCTGTAGGGACTGAAGGTTGTGGGCAGCCTGTGCATGGAGAGGTGGAGGTGGCTTGAGACAGGGGTGTTACGTAGCCTAGGCTAGCTTTTTTAAAAATATTTTTAGTTTTTGTTATATAGTCCAGGCTGGCCTGGAATTCACAGAGATCCTCCTGCCTCTGCCTCTCCAATGTTGGGATTAAAGGTGTGTAGCACCATGCCCTGCCTGCTTTTGAACTCTCCGCGTAGCTATGAATGACTTTGAACTCCCAGGACTTCTGCCTCCTCATGCACCACCCCACTTCCATCTTTTAGTATCTATTTTTTAAAAATGGTTCATTACATTTATTTATCATGTGTGTGTAGGACACATTCATATCACGGTGCACGTGTCAGGGCAGGAGAGAACTCCCAGGAGTCAGATCTCTCCTCCTACTGTGTGGGACCCCAGGATAAAACTCAAGCCATCAGATTTGGCAGCAAGTGCCTCTATCCACTGACCCATCCAATCCACACTCTTGCCCGTTTTAAAATCAGTTAGACTAGGGCTAGAGAGGTGGCTCAGCCGTTAGGAGCACTTTCTGCTGTTTTGTTTTGTTTTGTTGTTTTTTTCAAGACAGGGTTTCTCTATCTAGTTTTGGTGCCTGTCCTGGATTTCACTCTGTAGACTAGGCTGGCCTCGAACTCACAGGGATCCACCTGGCTCTGCCTCCCAAGAGCTGGGATTAAAGGCATGCGCCACTACCACTGGGCTGCACTTCCTGCTCTTGCAGAGGACACAGGCTCAGTTCGGAGCACCCACCTGGTGACTCACAACAGTTTGTAACTTCAGTTCCAGGGGATCTAAAGCCTTTTTCTGGCTCTGCAGGCATCAAGCATGCACCTACACATACATGGTCCACAGACATACATGCAAGTAAAACACACATATACATACAATAAAAAGAAATAAATATTTAAAATAAAATGAAACATAATAGTTACTGAGACCTTATGGTCATTTTATATGGAGGCATGGCACAGTTGATAGATTCCTGAAGTAGGATCCCCTGATGTCACCAGCCTGGCTCCAACTTGCCATCATTGATCTCTGGAACACCCCTGAGTCAGTAAGCCCTTTGATCCTCTGTGCAAAATGAGGAGCATGAACCTTGTGCTCTCAATTCAATTATGGGTTCACTAGGGCCATAAATATGGGAAAGGTGTGAACCAGGCAAGGTGGTTCCCACCTTTAATCCCAGGGCTGGAGAGGCAGAGGCAGGTGGATCTCTGTGAGTTCCAGGCCAGCCTGGTCTACAGAGAGAGACTCTACCTACCCCCACAAAGATGGGAGGATTTGGAGCGATGTCTAAGTGATTAAGGGTACTGTTCCTGAAGAGGACCCAGGTTTGGTTCCCAGAACACATGTCAGGTGACATCAGGCAATTCAGGGGATCTAATGCCCTCTTCTGCACTCTGAGGACACCTATACTCACATGTACCCACATACATAGAATTAAAAATAGAATGAATCTGTAAAAAATATGAGGAATAAGGTAGTTTCAATGATTTGATGTATGATGTGTGCATGTGTGTGGGCACATGTATGCACATGTATGTATATATATGGAGGCCAGAGTTGACATTGGGTGTCTTCCTCAACCACTCACAACCTTATGTATTGATGTAGGATCTCTCCCTTAAACCCAGAAGCCTCTGATTTAACTAGCCTAGCTAGCCAGCTTGCTCTAGGGATCCCTCACCTCTGCCTCCTGTGCACTGGGGTTATAGATAAGCTGCTAGGCATCCATGGCATTTACTTGCATGCTGGGGATCCAAATTCTGATCTTCACCCTTGCAGGGTAAAGCCTTTACTCTATGGATCATCTCTCCATCCCCATTATTTGATAACTGTACTGTGCTAATTATACAATACACATGATGTATTTTATATGTTTGTGCATTTGTGTGTGCACATCATTCTGCGGAGACCTCGATATTGGAGTTAATAGCCTCCTCTGTGAGAAAAAAAAATTTCTGATATTTATAAATTACCCAGGATGTGGTATTTTATTATAGCAGCAGAGTTCCCAGTACCCACAACCACCCATAACTCCAGTTTCAAGGTATTCTCATAACTTCTTCCTCCTCCTCTTCTACAGCAGCCTCTAAAAAAGAGATTTTATTTTATGTGTATGAGTGTTTTTCCTATATGTTATGTACCTGTACTTCATGTGTGCCGGGAGCCTATGGAGGTCAGAAGAAGGCACTGGAACTGGAATTACGGATGATGGTGAGCCACCATGTGGGTGCTGGGAATCAAACCCAGGTCCTCTGTAAGAGCAACAACTTGTAGGTGGAGTTTCTCTGTGTCTCAACAGCCGCTTCCAAATAACCATTCAGAGACTTACTATTAATTATAAATGATCGGCCCATAGCTTAGGCTTGTCTCCAGCCAGCTCTTACAGTTTAAATTAACCCATTTATATCAATCTATTTTTTTTTTGAGACAGGTTTTCTCTGTGTAGTTTTGGTGCCTGTCCTGGATCTCATTCTTTAGACCAGGCTGGCCTTGAACTCACAGAGATCCACCTGGCTCTGCCTCCCGAGTGCTGGGATTAAAGGCATGAGCCACCATCGCCCTGGCTCAATCTACATTTTGCCACATGGTGTTACCTCTTTTACATCTTGCACCTCTTGTTTCCTCTCTGTGTCTGGCTGGCAACTCCTCTGACTCTGTCTGTGTCCTTAGTCTGGTTCTCCCACTTAACCTTATCTTGTCCACCTATTGATCAGTCAGCTTCCTTATTAAACCAATCACAGCGACATATACTTACACAGAGTAAAGGAATAGTCCACTGCAAGTGCTCTAAACTGTCGGTGCCATCTCTCCATCCCTGCTCCCACATGCCGTCTTCTAACCTCCTTGGTCTCCTGCATGCATATAGTACACACACAGATTCAGACACACACACACACACACACACACACACACACACACACACACACACACACATGAAATAAATACATATTTTTTAGAATTAAAGTTGTAGGCCTGGGAGATCACTCAGCATAAAGTGCTTTTTTCCCCAAGCCTGGTGACCTAAGTTCGATTCCCACAGCCCACATAAAAGCCAGATGCTGTAGAAAGGTCTATAATGTCAGCATTCCTACAGCACAATGTGAGGAGAATCACCTGGAAGCTCAATGCCACAGAAAACCCTGTCTTAACAAGGCGGAAGGCAAGAGCTAGCTTCAGAGGCCAGGAGTGGTGGCCCATGCCTTTAATCCTAACACTCAGGAAGCCGAGGTAGGAGGATCTCTGAGTTCGAGGCCAGTCTGGTTTACATGTTGAGTTCCAGGACAGCCAGGGTTACATAGACACTGTCTACAAAACAAAACAAAACAACAAAACCTAAAGAAAAACAAAAAAACAAACTTAACTCTAGAAAGTAGTGCTTTGATCTCCACGGATCATGGGTATGCATGTATGCTAAATAAATAAATAAATAAATAAATAAATAAAGTGATTAATTAGCTAATTTGGAAAAAAAGGGGGGGGTCATAGTGAAACAGACCAGAGAGACCCATCTGTCCCAACGGAACCTGGGCAGGAATTGAATTCTGTGAGAGCACTGTTAAATCACTATTCACATTAATGACAGGCATTCCTTTAATTACTATAAATTCTCCTTTTATAAAACCAAACATTTCTTTCATTTTTCTTTATGTATGTGTGTGCCCATGTCTTTGCTGGTACCCATGGAGTCCAGAAGAGGGCATCAGATCCAAACCAGAGGTGGTGGGTGCTGGGCCTCAAACTCTAGTCCCTTGTAAGAACAGTACCTGCTCTTAACCTCCAAGCCATCTTTCCAGACGTATAACCCTTTATTTTAATGATTCTTCTAAAAAAAACTTACACGTGATGAGATGGGTGTGGTGGCATGTACCTTAAATCCCAGCACTCAGGAGACAGAGGCCAGCAGATCTCTATGAGTTCAGTGCCAGCCTGGTCTATATGGCAAATTCCAGACTACCCAAGGCTACATAGTGAGATCCTGTCTCAAAAAACCAAAACAAAAAAAGGGCTTCTGTCATGAGTGGCACACAAAGTGCAACTTTGACTGCTCTGCGTGCGGAATCAACATCAAGAGACTGCGGAAGCATAATAATTTCTTGGTAACTGGGCAGCTGGTGATTGTTGGTCCCCCTGTGTGTGTTGGGGGGGATAACCAAAACAAGGCTGGGTGGTGGCACACACCTTTAATCAGAGCACTTGGGAGGCAGAGCCAGGTGGATCTCTGTGAGTTCGAGGCCAGCCTGGTCTACAGAGTGAGTTCCAGGAAAGGTGCCAAAGCTACACAGAGAAATCCTATCTGGAAAACAAAACAAAAACAAGAAACAAAAAAGTGTATTATGTGAGTTCCAGAACAGTCAGTGATACACAGTGAAACCCTGTCTCAAACAACAACAAACAAACAAAACACTAAGGTGTCTTTTTTTTTTGTTTTGTTTGTTTTTTTCATTTTTCAGATAGAATCTCACTATGTAGCCCTGGCTAGCTTGCAACTCCACATGTAAACCAGGCTGGACTCAAATTCACAGGTGTACCTCTGCCTCTAAAGTGCTGGAACTAAAGGCATCTGCCAGCACACGGCACTAATTTTTAAAAATTATATTTGTGTGTGTGTGTGTGTGTGTGTGTGTGTGTGTACTGTGTACATGCCACAGTATGCAGGCAGAAGTCAGAGGACAACTTTAAGGAATTGGGTCTCTTCTTTCAGTATCCAGCCCTGGGGATCCAATGCAGGTCACCAGGCTTGGCAGTAAGTACTTCTTCCCGTGAACAGCCATCTCAACAGCTGTCCCAGATTTTTATGATAAAACATTAGGGGTGGGGAACAGTACTGAGACCATTCCTTACTGTCTCATCCTGAACATCATTGTCACATCCACAGCCTGTCATCGGAACCCAGATGGTTAACAAAAGTGTGGGCTTGTTCATTTGAAGGAAGTGGCCATGGGCACAGACCTTGTGTGGGTTAAAGGCGAAGTTTCCCTGCACCCAGTGTGGGCTCCCTTCTGCTCTGCCGGAGCTCAAGTTTCTGTCTTTCGTAACTTTTTTTTTTTTTTTTTTGGTTCATTTCCTCCTCCTAGAAGAGCATATGTTCCAGAAGCTTCCTTAAACATGGTGTGGGAGGTAAAACTTCTTTGAGGACTTACTTGTCGGAAGGCATTCTTATTTTACCCAACCACTTGATCAATAAATTGGCCAGAAGGAGGATCCTAGCTTAAACATAATTTTCTTAAAGAATTTTTATTTATTAATTTATTTTCATTTGTTTTTTGAGACAAGGTCTCACTATGTAGACCAGGCTAGCCTGAAACTCACAGAGATTTGCCTGTCTCTGCCTCCCACGTGCTGGGATTAAAAGTGTGAACCACCACATCCAGCTTAAGAATTGTTCTTTAAAAAATGTATTCATCAAAAAAAATTATTTCATACTGGGCAGCGGTGGTGCACACCTTTAATCCCAGCACTCAGGAGGCAGAGACAGGCGGATCTCTGTGAGTTCGAGGCCAGGTCTATAGAGCAAGTTCTAGGACAGCCAGGCAACACACAGAAATCCTGTCTCAAAACAAAGCAAAACGAGGATGTGAGGGCGATCTGGCTGCGACATCTGTCACCCCATTGATCGCCAGGGTTGATTCGGCTGATCTGGCTGGCTAGGCGGGTGTCCCCTTCCTCCCTCACTGCTCCAGATGCGTCCCTCCTGAAGCTGCACGCTCAGTCGAAGAGGATGACCTTCCCCGAATAGAGGAGGACCGGTCTTCGGTCAAGGGTATACGAGTAGCTGCGCTCCCCTGCTAGAACCTCCAAACAAGCATAATAAAAAGAAAAAAAAGAAAAAAGAAACAAAAATATTAGTTTTACATTTTATTTTGTGAGTATGTCGATATGTGTATGCATGTGCCACAGTGTGTGTGTGTGTGTGTGTGTGTGTGTGTGTGTGTATGCAAAGGTCAGAGGGTGACTGTGTGGAGTCAATTCTCTCCTTCCACCTTTACTTGAGTTCCAGGGATGGAACTCAGGCCACCAAACTTGCACCATTAGACAGCAAGCACCTTTACCTACTGAGCCCTGTTGCTGGCCTTCCTGAGGAATTCTGAAGGCATCGTCCCTCAAGTGTAACTGCTGAGAAACCCAAAGCCACTCTCATTTCCTGTTCCCTAAGACTTTGTTTTCTCTTGGGAAGCCAGAAGGATCTTATCTGTCCACACTGCTCTGAAGTTTTACAAGTATGTACGGTGCAGTGGATCAACTTTCCTTCCCTGTGGGCACTTTCCATCTGTGAATGGCTTATCCTCCAGGTCTGGGAAATTCCCTTGGAGGAGTTCCATAAATGCTTTCCTTGTTTGTTTTCTTTGTTCTTTACTTTCTAGTGTTAGGATATTAGGATGGAGGGACTCCGTGGTCTGGTTTTCTTTTCTTAAAAAAAAAAAAAAGGATTTATTTTAAATTACATGTATGTGCTCACATGTGCGCGCATGCACAGACACATGCACACGTGAATGCAGGTGTCTGAGGAGGCCAAAGGTCTCCTGGAGATCACCCTGGAGCTGGAGTTACAGATGGCTGTAAGTCATGTGATGTGGGTGCAGGGACCAGTCATCTGCAAGAGCAGTTTGTGCTCTTAGGCTCAGTGAGTAGGGCACTTACCATGTAAGTGTGAAGAACAGCGGGTGTGAGGACCAGAGTTCCAATCCAGAACCTGTGTGTACAACGGGAGGGCATGACGACTCATCTGCAATTCCAGAGCACAGGTGGTAAAGATGGGATCTCCAGGGCAAGCTGGTTGGCTAGACTAACCGGAATTGGAGAGTTTTGGGTTCATCGAGAGATCCCTGCTTCAATGTATAAGGCGGAGAGCAACTGACAAATACATTTGATGTCAACTTTGGTCCTCTACACACATGTGCACACACAAGTATGCCCACACATGAAAACGCCCGCGCGCGCACACACACACACACACACACACACACCACACATACATACACCAAAAGTATCTTTAATGCTTCAAACAGGCCACCTCATTTGTGAATGAATTATCCTTACCCCGTTATATCAGCAGCCTGCCCTTTATCCTCATGTTTATTATTTTATTTTAACGATATGGTACATGGATTTTTTTTTCTTCCTTATAGTTTTATGTTTATTTAGTGCCCCACCTCCACTTTAAGACATAGTCTCACTGTAGCTCAGGTTGGCCTTGGATAAACTTGGGATCCTTCTGCTACCACCTAACCAGAGCTGGGGGATTCCTGGTGTGCACTATCACATCTGTTTCACGCTGTGGTGGGGAATCAAACCTAGGGCTTCATACATGCTAGGGAAGCACTCTACCAACTGAGCGACATATCCAGCCCCCCACCCTCCCTTTGAGACGTGTAGCCCAGGCTGGGTCTTGAACTCCACATGTACTTGATTGAGGTTGATCACCCTTCAGGATTCTACTGCATCCACTTCCCAAGGGCTGGAATTACAGGTGTGCCACTAGGGCAGGTTTGTGATGGGCTAGGGTTGGAACCCCAGGCTGTACATGCTGGCAGGAATTCTAACTGGGCTGCATCCCGGGGGGCGGGGGGGGGGCGGATTGGAGACAGGATCTCATTGTAGCACAAGCTGTATAGGATTTTCTAGAAGGGCCTTATGCCATAGCATATTGTAGTTATCACAAAACAAGGGGTCTCAAGAATCTCCCCATGGCGTTGGCAGGAGTGGAGGAGAGAGAACGGGGCCCTAACAGAGACCCGAACTGGTAACCCGAAGATCCAGACACCTACCTAAACTTGGTCACGCCCGGGACGCATTAGCGTGCCAAGATGGCGGACGCCCCGCCCCGCGGCCCTTCGAGGCGCGTTCGCCGGCTGGAGCCGAGTGCTTCCGAGCTTTCCCGAAAGCCCGTGGAACCCAGGAACGGAGCGGGCGGGAGCGGCCCCGCCCGGAGCCTGGGAGCTGCGTCGACAGCACCGAGGGGGAGGGGAGGCCGGATGTGAGTGGAGCGGCCATTTCCTGTTTCTCTGCAGTTTTCCTCAGCTTTGGGTGGTGGCTGCTGCTGTGCTTCGCCTTCCAGTCCGCTGAGGGCCAGGCGGCGTGGACAGCGGTCCCGGCACTCGGCGCCCCGCCGCCCGCAGCCTCGCACCCGCCCGCCGCGCGCTTCCCGAGCCCGCCGCTTCCCGCCTCAGTGACCGGCCGCCGCCGCCGCGGCCCACGGAGCGGCCCAGATGCAGGCCATCAAGTGTGTGGTGGTGGGAGACGGGTGAGTGCACGACCGCGCCGGGGGGCTGCGGAGGGGGTGTCGTCCGCGGCGCCATCGGGGGCGGGCGGCACTCGGGTCCCCGCAGGCCCGAAAAGCCTCGGGCTAGCCTGGAGCGCGCGCCCGGCTTTCTTGGGGGCGCGGGCCTCCCACCCTCCCAGGCCTGGTTCCGGCTTCTGGTTGGGGGAGGGCCTGGGCGAGCCGGCCGGAGGGAAAAGTGAACTCCACCCTCCTGCTTTCTTCCCGGGCCGGACACCGCCCGTCGCCCTGTTCTCGATGGCACGTAGACGAGGCTGGTTTGAAAATTTTTGCTTGCTTTTTTTTTTTTTTCCGTATTGTTTTTTGAGAAAAGGAAGTCTAGTTTCTTCAATAACTCAGGATTCCCCCGAGAACTGAGATAGCTAACGGCCTCCAAGTCGATCTTATTCGGTGCATGTTGGCACCGGTCACTTGGGTGACCTGGAAGTTAGGAACGGACTCGGTTGCTTGGACTTTGCAGGGTGTTTATAAAAATAGTCGTTTTCACACTTTCCGCCGAGAAAGTTACTGGAATGGTAGCCGAAGGAGTGAGTGTGATGAAGACTGTCCATTGAACGTAGTGTGGTCATTTAAAAAAAAAAAAAAGGAGCCTTCTCAAGGCATTAGATGTGGACGTAGCAGATCCAGCTCCCTGTGACTCGAGGCAATTCTTTTCATAACTGTTCGTGATGGTTTCAGGCCCTTGAGGGAGACAAGACTGGTCTTATGCAGTTTTTTCCCCCCTTTCGGTAGAAACAAGAATCTCAGTGTAATCGGAGCAAAATCGCGCGTCTCAGCGTTGCTTGTGTAGGTTCGTGTTAACGAGGAAGCTTGGAGATGTACGACTAGCAGTTTCCTCAAACACGAAATGCAACTGGTACACTTTCAAGTTCGGTATAACGCACAGCAAACTTGATGTCTTCCACGCTTGCAGTGATCACCGATTTTCCTGAATTGCAGCTCCTGGACTCGATTGTTCAGTGTATTTGCCTAACTCTACAGTAGGCATTTGGGATGTCCCTGTAACTAGTTTAGCCAAACGGTCAGACAGCCTTTTTTCTTTTTTTTTTTTCCCTCTTGGTGAACATGTCAGTCTGTGGGATTTGTCTCAAACAGGAAATCTTAATGAACACGGTTCAATGTATATAACTACACATTGGGAGTTTCATTGGCTAGGATTATGTGTTGCTTTCCTTTCACCTATAAGAAAGTTTTATTTTGTCACTTGGGACAGATAGTTTGAAATGAAAGCAGTTGAAGTTCTGTTTTGGAGCCAGGGTCTTTCTGTATTTTGCTCCTCGATGATGATGATGATGATTCTCCCGAGACAGTCTTGGTAGCGTTGGGTTTACAGGTGTGAGCCATCGAGTCTGCTTTAAGTGAAGGTTGGGTTTTTTTTTTTTTTGTGAATTAACTAAACATAGCACTTTTCCTGGGGAAGGTTGATAGTTATCTGAACTTCCTTTAAAAGTTAAAAATACTTTTGTGAACTGGGAAGTCCTGCCACATGCCTCGTTTCTTTCTTTCTTTCTTTTTTTTTTTTTTCTTGGTAAGTTAAATTGCTGTATCACCGTCCTCTGTCATCCCAAAGCCTAGGGACCGTAGAGGAAGAAGGAAGAAGGGAGGCTATTAGAACCAGAGGTCAGGGACACTGGACAGAAACAGTATCATCTGGTCTACACTTTCGAACTCAACAGCAGCTGTACAAAATCCTAGCCCAGGGCAGAGCTGGCCTGGGCTGAGTAGGAATGGACCCTTGATGGCTGCCTTCTGGGGGTGGGAGAGTGAGTTTTCCTTATGGGTGTGGCCTTGGTAGATCCACCTAGCTCCAGTGGAGTGTATGGGCCGCACAGATTGGACTTGGGTGGGCTTTTAAGGGGCGCAAAGCTAGGAGGAGGTGGAAGACATCCGCAAAAAAATTACGTTTTAAAAAAGAGGCAAATTGTTGCTAATCCAGTACCAAACCACAGTGTTTGAAAATTTCTAGGACTGACTGAAACACAAATGCAACAGGTATGCTAATCTTAAGTTGATTTGATACTAACAGATCCTATTGTAGGTCTGCTTTCCCCCTGTGCTGGACTTGGAATTTAGGGCCTTTTGCTTCCTGGCAAGTGCTGAACAGCTGAGATACGATTTAGCCTGTTACTGGCTTTAAAAAAACAAAAAAGTCAAATACTTGCAGAATGCCTACTGTGGGATCTGGATCCTTCTTTTGGATTTCCACTGCTTTCTTTTTCTATTTTTAATTTTTTTATGTCTTTGGATATTTTGCCTGCATGTATGTCTGTGCAAGCAGAGGATCCCCTGAAACTGGATTTATGACAGTTGTGAACCACTATGGGGTGCTAGGAATCGAACCAAAAATTCTCTGGAAGAGCAGCTAGTGCACCTAACTGCCGAGCCATCTCTCCAGCCCCCCACCACTTATTTTTTTTTTTTTAACTTCTGGAGTAACCCTCAGCCTATCATTCTTCCCTCAAGAGAGATGCCTCTAGGGAAAGTTAAACAAGACTAAACAAGATGCTGAATATTAAGAGGCTCTTAAGTGTCTGATCCTTGTGGAGTGCTTAGAAGTGCTGGTTACCATTGTTACTCCAGGGGTGTGTGTGTGTGTGTGTGTGTGTGTGTGTGTGTGTGTGTGTGTGTGTGTGTGTGTTCGTTTTTTGTTCCGGTGCCTTATCTCTTGTGTGTTAGACAAGTGCTCACCACTGAGATATTCCTACTAGCCAGTATTCTTACTGTCATTGGTGGGGTTTTTGGTTTGTTTTTACTATGAGGGTCTGTGAAGAATGTTAGAAATGCAGTTCTTGGCCTTGAATTTTTCAATCCACTTTAAAAAAAAACAAACTTCATTTATTTGTATATATGTGGAATTTATATATATGTGGAATATTATTTGTATATATGTGGAAGGCATACGTTGCCATGGCAAGCTTGTGAAGGTCAGAGGCCAACCTGAAGGAGTTGGCTCTCTCCTTCCGTCATGTGAGTCCCAAGGATTGAACTTACCTTTACCTGCTGAGCCATCTTTCTACCCCCAGTATACTCTTTTGTTTTTTTTTAAATGAAGTCTTGATGTCTGTCTCTGGCTGGCCGGAAACTCGAAGAGATCTGAATGATGGATTAAAGATGTGCATCACCACATCTAACTTGTACTTAAAAAATACTGAATGTATAAGAATGTTTTGCCTGCATGTATGTCTGTACCACATTTGTGTCTGGTGTCCAAGGAAGCCAGGAAGAGGGCGTTGGATCCCCTGGAACTGGAGTGACAGATGGTTATGAGTCACCATGTGGATGCTGGGAATTGAACCTGAGTTCTCTGCAAGAGCAGCCAGTGCTCCTAACCATTAGCATCTCTCCAGACCTTCTCAGTGTGTTTTTTCATACTATATTTGATGTAGATACTGTTGGGGCTAACTAACAGAAGAGAAATGTACATTTACCAAAAGATTGAAATTTACACTTTGAATGTACAGCAAACATTGGTTTAGAACATTGGTTCTCAACCTGTGGGTTGTGACCCCCTATTATGATTCATAACAGAAGCAAAATTACAGTTATGAAGTAGCAATGGAATAATGCTATGGTTACCATAACATGAGGAGCTGGATTAGAAGGTTGCAGCATTAGGAAGGTTGAGAACCACTGGTTTAGAAGTATAGATACATAGCTTTTCATGCAAATATATATATATATACATATTTTTTTTTTTGCTTTTCATCAAATAAGTTATGTCTAAGGTATAGTTGGGATGCCTTTTATTCTGAAAAATTTAAAGCAGTTAAGCCTAATGTCATATATAGTATACTAATTTTATAGGACTTTTTAGTCCTCTTGATGTGCCTTTTAATAGAAGGAATGATGAGAAACTAAGATCCTACAAACTGGCAACTTTATTTAAATGTTCTTTTGAGGAATTACAGTTAAACATTCTGTTAGGAAGCTGGGCAGCGGTGGCACATGCCTTTATTCCGTGCACTTGGGAGGCAGAGGCAGGTCTACAAAGAGAGTTCAAGGCCAGGCTTTAAAGCTACACAGAGAAACCCTGTGTCAAAAAAACAACAAGGAATAAATGTTATGACCATGTTAGATTAGTTTGCCTGCATTCTTCTGGTGGGTCAGTCTCTGTTCAGTAGTTAATTGGCAGTGGATATAAAATAGAGAGATTTAAAGCTTTTTATCAGATGGTCTTTCTGAACACAGAAGCCGTGTGTTTTTCTTGATGGTGGTCTGGCCTGTGCTGATGCTGTGGACTAAACTTTACCAGGGCCTCACATTTGGGAGGGAAGTGTTCTACTGCTTTTTTAGATTCCCCACCCAACCTGGCCTCTGGCTTTGTTCTTCTGCCTTCGCCTCCTGAGTGCTGGGATTGTAGAGATGTGCCATCACAACTACCTCAGTGGTTTTTAATAGTGTTGCTTTAGTTTTGGCCCACCAGAAAGCTGACAGCGAATGTCTTGGGATTTCCCCCTTGTCTGCATATGGACTTGGATCCAGTACGGTGTCTAACTTAGACATTGCTGTCCAGGAATTTTGTTAGTTCTGCCTCCTGTGATGTCATCCTTACAGGAATGGACCCATTTTACTCTGCTTCCATTGAGCAGTGATAGCATGACCC